AGAGAGAGAGAGAGAGATAAACAATTAAATGCCTGTTATTTACAATAACAACCATAAGATTGCAATCAATTGTATTAGACATATATTTTTGTTCATCATTTTATATAAACTATTTTTTATCTCGTGTAATAATAAGTGGATTTAAATCTATTATTGTAATAATAATAAAAACATGGTTAACTATAGTAGATATAAACATGCAATGTATATAATAGTGGTAGATATGGTGTGAGCAGCGGCACCGGTAGGCCATAACCATGTTTAGCCAACCGCTAACAAGCACTCGTACGTACAGTATATAATAAACATGATCGTTATGGTTTGTCTACCCGGGGGCTAAATGAGCCATGTTAATATCTATATAAATAATTGCACAACGCACATTTGTTGTTGTTTATCACGGGAAATTTATTTTAAAATCGAAAACATATTAAACACACATTTGGTGTTTGAATATAACTTATAAACGAAAAATGAAACGACATAAAAATAACCAAACTAGATCTGGAATATAAATTCACATTTAGATGAAGCAAGCTAAATCACTATACGACTACTGTCTAATTATGGTAAAATACACACATATCATAGTTGTTTTAAATGACAGGAAATAGCATAATGTATTAATGGATATTTGTGGATTTTGCGGTAAGAAAAACAGATGTTGGTAAAAATAACAAATACTAGTAAAAAATCACTAATAATCAACCTACCTCATCGTACATAAACTGCAACGTTAGGGCACTTTTACCCACACCACCGGATCCCACCATGATCACTTTGTGCAATGGTGGCTGAGTGGCCGGCTTGTTGTTTGTGGGGCTCGACATGTCCACCCCTACCGTATTGTTATAGTGTTGCTGTTCAGGTGTAGTTCCCAGGCCTCCGGCCCCTCCGTTAGACTCGCTTTTAGCAAAAATCCTATTGAAATATACGGCAAATAAAAGTGTGAATAAGTTTTTTTAATTGTTTTTTCACTGTTTTTGTTTAGTTTTTCTCAATGTTTGTATTTGTGGAGTAAATACTGTTTTTTTAAAAGTAATTAAAAGTTTTGTTTTGCAGTGGTATTAATGTAATTGTTTTTTGGTTGAAAACAGTTTTGCAAAATTTTTGGCAATAAAATCGTCCAAAATTTTGATTGAAAGTATGTTTTCGTATAATTTTTGCGGAGATTTTTACTGATAATCAAAAGTATTGTTTCAATTGGCGATCGGATATGAAATCTAGTGAAATATACAATAGTTATTGTTTTTGTTATATAACACGAGAGAGTGGTGAGAGAGAGAGAGAGAGAGAGAGAGAGAGAGAGAGAGAGAGAGA